TAGAGGCTGATAGAGATCCTGTAATGTCCAAAACATTGTCCAATCTCTTTGGTGCAGAAAGCTTTGCACTATTGGTAATGCTATTCTATAAACAATATACAGTATTCATGTGCACAGTTGAACACCTGTGTCAGCAATGGATGCTGAATTCATTGTCTGGACATATATAGTACTGTGCCGAAGTCAGAGACAACCCTTTCAACAGATTAATGAAAGAATATGGGGCATCACCAGATAAACAGTACTTAAAGCTTTCATCTTTGAGGGACAGAAGAAAAAGGTTCACTCTTGCTTCAGATATGAAAAATATCCACTGGTGTCCATCCTTCCACTGTGAGAATACGACACAATGAAATAGGTCTGAGAGGATGTGAAGCTTTTAAGAAACTGTGACTGAGAAAAAGAAAATAGACAAAAAAAGGACATCAAGAACACCAAAACCAGACATCTGAGATATGGAGTGAGGTTTTATGCACTGAGGAGTCTAAATTTGTACTTGGTAATACTTGGATGGTGAATAGCAAAAAAATGCAACCGACTTCTAACACTGAACTTTGGAGGTGTAGAAAAATATCACTGCAGATTTCTTTCCCTAAAAGAATAGAAGATGTGATTTAAAAAATGGTAGGCACACAAAATACTAAAAATGTTGTGATGCTGTGCAATTTTCTGTTAAACATGCTTTTCTGCTTCTTTTCTGACTGTTAAAAATGAATAACTTGTACTTAATGGCCATTTGGAAATTGAATCAATGAAAGGGTGGTCTCTCACTTGCGCAGTGCTGTAGTGTACTTTGAGCCCAACAGACAACCCATTGGCTGGTCTTATGGATTGTGGTTCGCTCTTTGCTTTTCTCACAGCCAGTCTTTGGGGTTTCGCGGCGCCACGGCAGATGGCCCACCGGTCTGTCGAATGCGACAGCGCCTGAATCTGTCAGTCAAGTCTATGAAAAGAGTAGGAGCTGATATGTCATATTAGAGTGAGTGAGTGAGTGAGTGCGTGAGTGTGTGTGTGAATGTGACAGACATCAGGATTTCTGCATCAGAATAGCAGTCGCCATCTGTGCCTCCTATGCAACACTCTGATGTTTCTGAGCAACCCTCCCGTCTCGCCCACAACATCGCAGGCAATCGGAGCCAACTCATCTGGAGGCTCCTGTTTTCACAGGCAGAGGCAACCTGCTTTCATGTAATTGTTTACCAAATCGGGGTTAAACTCGTTTTTCGCACTCAGATGCGAAGCACGGTGTCCCTTGTTACTGTCTATGATGAAAACACATTTTCGAGATCATCGCTTTGATTAGAAAAGTGGAAACTTTGCAAGTCAGCTGCACCTTTGGAATGGAATGTGTTCAGCGGAGTGGAGGCAGCGAGAAACAGTCTTCATCTTCGTCTACTTCACATCTCCCAGTCTGTTCGCTCTGATGAAAGAGTCATTAAAAACATGAGGATCTTCGCTTTCCTTGGAGTTGCTCAGGCATAGGGGAAAAAAATTAATAGATATCAGTCGATGTGTTTGGTCTGCTTTATCAGGGAGTGGTTTTATTCATTTCTCTTCGTGTTTCTACCCTCCCCTCTCGCTCTTTCTCTCTGTATCGCTCCTTTTGCTCTCTTTTTCTCATTCATAAGTGTACTTGTCTTGATATTAGTGTGATCACAGCCAGAACAGAATGAGCAACGTTTGATGACTTTTCTTCAGAGATAACTAAGCACTCTGGGTCGTGTACATGAATCTCCAGCTCTTACAATGATTTGTCATGTTCATAAAGGGATGCCTTTTTTCTGTCAGAAGCCTAGTGCGCTGGGCTCAAAATGTGATGGGGATTGAATTATTTATTTGGTGTATTTATTGTTGGTACAGAGTAATTTGATGTTTTTAACGAGAGTCCGTGTTTTTCAGCTATGGTCCAGGGAGACCGCATGCCTGCTGGGTTTTGTTCAGTCTTATCTCTCTTAATTAGGCTGGACAAAGCTTTGAATTGCATATTGATGTTTTTTTTTGAATGCTTCCTTTTTACATCCCTTGCCAAAGAAATGTTTCTGCATCTGAAAACATGCCTACGTTGCTTAGGTCTGTAAGTAATTAGGCCAAAAGGGGTGGCAAAGTGTGTAATAATCAAATTCATTAACTGTGAAAATATTTAGCTTACTTATCATCTATAATCTTTATTTATTACGGCCAGATTTGCAATAAGAGAGCTGTTTGTTCTGTACCTGAAACAAGGGAAAACATTCTGGATAATCAACTCATCTGTACTATTTTCAAACTTGTTTGGTCACAACCTTCTCATATTATGGAGGCAGAAAAAACTCTGGTTTAAAGTGATTAAACCCAGTGGCTTTGTGATCAGAATGAGGTGAGCCTATGAGTGGTCAGTCCAAGTTGTGTACGAGTTGTTTGGAAACAAAGAATTATCCTCTTCTCAGTTCTCTGGTCTCTTATCAGCCTAAAGTGCACAGGGATTGGCAGCATTGTTCAGATTGCTGCTTTTGTGCCATCCAGCCGCAGGATGCAGTAAGCTCTCCCTCTCCACAAGAGCAATTTTGCACTCGGCCAACAAGAAGAATGGCTGTTTGTGTTTTGGGTTTTTGATTTGGTGATCAAAATGTGTAATCATGGCTGCGCTGCTCTCTGGAAGCCACTTCATTCTCATTCGCGGCTGCGTGCTGATTTCATCTTTCTCCCCCCAAAACCTGCGCCAATTAACCTCCTGCTTGAAAATCAACTTGAAAGCTTTTCCATTAAATGCTTTCCTTACACACATCAACTCAATAAATAGCTTCAAAACGCAGCATCAGGCCTCGAGTAATCAGAAAGTGTTTGTCTTCTCACTTATAAATGCTACCTAATCATTTATTTGGTAGGCAAATGTGGGAGAAAAAGTGACATTATTTATATGCTAATGTGGATTTGAAAGACCTCTGTCACAGGTGGGGTCAGTGGTACTGTCTTGTACTTGTGTGAATTTAAACGACTTATTGGCAGATTTTTGTGCTGGAAATAAACAGAATTTTGTGTATTAAATGAAAATCTGTAATGTTAATGATAACTCGCATTCATTGGAAATATGACAGAGATAGTACAGGCCTACTAAACAGAAAGTCAAAAACCCAGCGGTGCTATTCCACTTTTACCACAGGAGCTGATGTATTGACAGAGCTTCATAATCATTTCATTTGCTCTGGTTTAAGATATTGAGCAAAACCATTTTTGTTGGTTATTTGAATAGATCTGAGTTTAAGAACAAATGGCCTCGTCATAAAAAATCAATATGAAGAGAATGAGATTTGAGAAAAGGCTGCACAGTAACACGAGCATAGTCTAACACTGCCCTCTGTTGAAAGAGCAGCTCAATGAAGTCTACTGACTCATTACTGGAGTACCAAACTAAACATCTCCCTCTTCTGGATTTGTGTTGTTTTCCTACTACTCTTTCAAAGAGAAATGTATAAAAAGCTGCATAACATTTAATAAAAAAATATAAAAATGTATGCTGTGATAAAAATGAGAAAAATATAGAACAACAATTTCAAATTCTTACCGCAGTTAAACTGCCTGTGGTTTTCATTGAGGAAAACAGCTGTCAGATCTCAGCACATGGAAAGTGAAAGGAATAACACCTCAATAAATCTGATTTACACTGTTTTCCTCTCACTCTGAATGTAGTCGATTGACTACGATGTGAAATTTGTTTAGCTTTGCATTGGAGCTACGAGGCTAATGTAGCAAACATGAAAGCCTGTACTACACAAATTAGAATCGGGCAAAATCGATGCCTAAATCTCACACTTGCCTCAAACCATGTGGAATTATTAAGTCATCTCAAACAGACTTGCTTATGAGGTGTTTGACACTGTATCACATACTACAATTGGACAAATGTGTGTTGCATGGCAGTAGCAACAGCCATCTTGAATCCTGAGTTCTGTCTGCACTTTTGTCTAAACATGTCTCAGCTCATTACTTTTGGAGTAACAAAAAGTGTATAATTTTGCTTCTCAATTATATCGCTTGAGGTCTAGAGCCTGAAGTCTAAAGTGTGAAGCCGGAAGCTCAAATTTCCTCAGACAAAATACTGGTAAGTGTTTTTATTTGGCAATAAATTAATATTTATTTAGTAAATTGAATCTTTGATGCTGAAAAGTGAAAAAAAAATGATTGTAGAAAATAAATAGGATAGGAACGATATTTCCTTCCGACCTGTTTTTCATCAGAGACACTAGACTAGACTAGACACTAAACTTAAAGGAGGAGACCAGTCACTCCTTTAAGAAAAAGAAAATCCCGCCCATTAAGAAAAAGAGCCAATTGGCTCAGCTTGCTGGTTATGCCTTGAGTGGGAAAACCCCCCTTGTTGTGGAGATATGCTCAAGTGCAGAACAACCACAAAAAACACACACATTTGTGCATTATTGAGCCAAATATATAGACTGTTTATGAGTTTTTGTCAGATTTTACCAGTGATTTCAAAAATGTTTTTGAAACAGTAATTTGGTTTTTAAGTATTTTGTTCTCTCCTCATTCAAACAGAGAGGAATCTGGTCTTGTATGCCTGAAAATAACTGCTCGGTGGCTCTGCAAAGATGGCCGCCGTGTGAACAGACTTTGCTATAAGTACTTTCATGTCAACAGCCGGAGTGAATGCTCTACAACGGAGTTATCTTACCCCACTTAACAGTTTATTTAATATTTATGTGAAGACTTTTTAAGAGATTTTTTTCGTTCACTTTTACTGGTTTTCACTGTAGAAATCACAAATAATTCCCGTTTTTTTGTGCGCGTGCAATCTTTTAAAACTATCGGTATCGAGATATTAGCCTTGTGATCGCCCATCCGTAGTGTGGAGTATAAAGCCTGAAGCCGGCAGTCTTCGTGCCCTCTGTCGCCCCCTGTGGGTCCGCAGATAAATGAACCGCTCCCCTGCCCACACAGGGAGGGAGGGGGCTCCTCCAACAAACTTTTGAGTGCTGGAGAAAACAGAAAAGCGCTCTCACGCCCAGAGAGCTCAACTTTTTCCAAGTCAGCTCGCGCCGAGACTCAAAAAAGGAGAAGAAAAGTAACTTTTACCTGAAGTAATCCTGCCTGGGGGTCTCCACTTTTTTCTGTGAGTAACGGGTCTTGTTTGGAAGTCATGCAAAGCGTTCTGAACACTTTTCGATCGCGTGAGGAACTTCAATGAAGACTTTTGCTCATTATTTCCTCTCAGGAATGGTTATTTTTTCGTTCTCATGGGCTAACATGCCTCTCCGAGTCTCTCTGTTTTCATAGCTGAGCTGTGGCTGTGCTGTGCTGAGCGGGCTGTGGCTGTTCGCTCGGTGGTCTTCGCTGCTTCACGGATGCTCATTGAACCCACAGGTCGCCGCCTCGGTCCGGTCTATGCAGCCGCGGGAACAAAAGAGAGCGAGAAGTCAGCCGCGACTTTCATGAAGGCGAGCTGGTAGCGCGACTCGGTCGTTTTTCTGCACGACTTTTGGACGCGATGGCCGGCGTGGTGCGCAGCCTCAGCCGCTGTCTGCTGCCCGCCGAGGCCCCCCAGGAGAGGAGCAGCGGGAAGGAGGGCGCGCGGGCTCGTGATGCCAACCAGGAGCGCGAGGCCAAGCGCCGGAGTCGCGAGATCGATGCCATGCTGGCGCGCGAGAGGCGCTCGGTCCGCCGCCTCGTCAAGATCCTCCTGCTGGGAGCGGGAGAGAGCGGCAAGTCCACTTTCCTCAAACAGATGAGGATTATTCACGGCAGGGAGTTCGACCAGAAAGCTCTGCTGGACTTCAGAGACACCATCTTCGAGAATATCATCAAGGTGAGGGTTTTAAGTCTGGAAAACAGAGCTGAGAACCTCACTGCAGCTCGTCTTGTATGACTCAGTTTAGGCAGCAACTTTCTCCGTTGTCGTTCAGTTTCTTTCCCCAACTCTCTGTTTCTACAGTTCTCTGTTTTTCTTTCGTCTCATTCTTTCCCTTCTTTATCTCTCTTGCTCTTTGTTTCTTTATTTCACTTCATTTTAGAGGTTAAGGAACAGCGCTCCCCATTATCTATCAGTTTCTTTGTTTTTTTCTTATCTTTTTTTCTTTCTCCGTCCCTCTTTCTTTTTGTTTCTTTCATTTTAGAGGAAATTTTAAGCAGCAACTTTCTCCATTCTCTCTCTCTCTCTCTCTCTCTCTCTCTCTCTCTCTGGCTGCGTCCAGAACTGCATAGTACACACTTAAAAAAGATGGTTCTGCAAGGGTTCTTTAGTAAAGGCAATTGTTCTATTTAGAGCCATGAGTTCTACATAGAACAGTTTCATGCTTAAATGGTTCCTCAGATTGATGGAGCATGTTTTGTATACGGTTCTGTATAGTAAACGGTTCTGTATAGCACCAAAAAAGGTTCTACTATTGTATCAACGTCAAACTTGTAACAGAAGAACCCAGCACATTCTCCATCAATCTGAAGAACCATTTCACCATGTGAACAACCATTTAAGCATTAAGTGGTTCTTTATAGAACTTATGGTTCTAAATCAATATGTTGCCTTTACTAAAGAACTACTGACATAACATAAGTAACGTAAGTAGAATGTCAAAAGGTGTAGTACAGTAATGTTCAGTTGTGGATGCAGCCTATCTCTCACTCTGTTTTCCTCCCCCTCTCCTTGGCTCTTTGTTTCTTTCATTCACTTCATTTTAACTCCAGAGTATTCCAAACTAATATCACAACTTCCTGAATGGACACTCAGTTTGTCCCCCTTTTTGTCTTTCTCTTTCTTGCTCTGTCACTCTAATACATCACTTGAATTCTGACCACAGTTCTCCAGCTCTGTGTGCTACAGATATCCCCCCTTGCTTTACCTGGGTGGCAAGTGTGATGACAAAGTGCCCAACCAGTTCTATTAGGTGGTCAGGTGGGCTGGTTGAAGTCCCATACTGCATTTGGATTCAACATCCAAGTGAGAATCCTTCTGCAGTAGACGGTTCTGTGGCCTGACAGCATCAGTGTCACAAGTTCACTGTGGATATCCACTGTTTAAAGTCTCTTGTTATGGTCTGTTTATGTTCAAACATGGCTGCATATCTCCTGTACCGTGTATCAAGTTCCGGAGTCTCTGAGAGTTTTCAGTAGTGGACTGTGCTAGGGGTGGGAAATAGGATTATGATATGATATTGTTAATACAGTAAATTACAGGCATTAGCATGTGGGACCGAAAGATTAATAGTTTTTATAACAAAATTACAATTTGAGGAAGTGCAGTTTTCAAAGAGAGCATTTTTAAATTATAGCCTTCATTATCAACAGCATTGTCTTAACATTGTTTTTGATGGGAAAATTTAGATTAGTAATACAAATCTTTTGTTGCAAACTGCCATTAGATGAGTCGGACCAATAAGCAACCAAAAACCCATGTGATGTTTACCTGACAACACAATCATTCCTAGCATTCAGGCCTTAAGCCTGGTAAGAAAAAACACAATTTGATATTTTTCTCAGAACGTTCAGCTGTATTAGCATGTGAAATGTGATAGTTCTAACTTAACAGACCTCAGAAAAATACACACTGTGATATATATTTTGTGTCGAGAAAATCTCAAAAATTGTGATGTCATATTTTTGCCATATTGCCCAATCCTAGGCTTCACTTGTCATGCGTTAAGCTAAATTGTGAAAGGCTATACTTTTATTGCTGGATAAAGCCATGTATTAAGCCTTAATAGACTGTATCTTGTGTGTATACAGCAGGTATTATCATCTATTAAGGTTCTGAAAGTCCAGCAATCAATAACAAATTCCAAGGACACAAGTGTAGTGTCTCTCTTTGTCTACAAGTCTCACTTGAGTGAAGGGAGCTGATTAAAGGATGATGGGTCAGGTAGATGCAGTCAGGCATGTGATGGATGCACGTTTTCACCCATTTATCAGGCTAATCTCTGTGCTCAAGTGCGCCACGTTAGTCACAGCGAAGCTTGTTTTAGTTGTCTGCCTCTCCCACGAGCTGATTGACAGTGTAAGCCACGGTATTGTTGCCGGGTCATTTCCCTGCGAGCGGCTTCTGCTTTAGATGCTTTTGTGCTTAACAACAGAGGCTGACTCACCGGCTCTAATTAACAGGAATGGGGGAGAAAAAGTGTGTGTGTGAAGGGGAGGAGGGCGAGAGGAACGATAGCGATACAGTGGTTTTCACATTTGTTGCCATCTCCCCCTTTTGAATGGAGGGAGCAAAAGGAACATCTTGCCACTTGTCATAACAAATCTCTGAAACAGGCCTTATCACAATCATGAAATATTTGCTCTTGATTAGTTGCTGTATAAATAGTTGTGGTTAAGAATTCAATTTTTTGTTCATTGTAGGTAATTATCAAGGTAAAAGCCTAAAGTGGCCAAACTGGCTGAATAGCTGTTGTACGTTTTAGCTGTCAGTAATTAGGAAGCTACCAACTGACATCAGACACGGCGCAAGCTCAAATAAATAAACATTAGTCAGCATTGCCTTCTGAATGCATTGTAGTACCAGTCAGAAGTTTTGTGGTTTTCACAATGACGGTTCTCAATAAATGCGCTTTTTGCTTTTGTTTACATGCATTTACCTCAAACCAACTGATACGCACCTAGTAAACTTTCTGTTTGTTGCAACACAAACAGATCATTGTAAAAGCTGACAACTGGGGAAAATTCTTGCAATCAGCTTAAATAATTGCAATCAGGCTTATATAATATAATTATAATCAGATACATAATATTGTGGTTAATTTATAGGAGAAGCAAAAAACATTCTTAACTTTAATGTGCGTCAGTGTCGCAAGATTTTATTCCTAGTAATTTTGGATTATTTGTGTTGGTCCATTCATCATGAAATGTTCACACAACATAAAAAGCAGCTACTGTTTTCAAATAGTGTAAATTAGATTTAAAAAATTGAGAATTTTTTTATGAAATTTTGCTACAATCAAGAAAATCTGCAACTGTAATCAATATCAATCAATAAAATTTTAAATCAATAAAAAGATGAGCTTTTAATGCTTGTTGGATTTTGTTCACCATCCTTTTTCTCGCTCCTCACTCCTTTCTCTCCCTCTCTCCTACAGCAGCTCTTCCCTTGTCACTTGGATGAGTGTGTTTATGTGTGTTTTTGTATATGTCTCCTGGTGTCTCGGTGGTAGTAGCTGATAGTACAGCAGATGTTCTCTCTTACCTGTCATGGTGTGGGAGAGCGTATGATCCAGAAGAGAGTGATGATCTGACATCCATTTCATGTTCTCTGCCATGTCTGCATTCGGAGTACTTGTCTCTACAGATACATTCAGATCTTTGCTTTTTACACCTGGGGGTGGGAAGCCACTGAAATGTGTTCTGAGTCAGATTTTGTTTTGCTGTCCATTTTATATATGTTGGAAAATGGTACACAAGATGCAATATAGAGGCCAAAGTGCAAAACACACCAACAACTAAAGAAAAATCGACACAGCAAATCTGAAATCACAACATTGACAGTTCTTAAACTGGAACAGGCACATGTTACTGATCACATGCCATGTGCATAAAATCTGTTCAGTCTTTAAAAAGGCAGAATACTGTAATGTTTTTGAAATTGCTGATGACAGTTAACTGAGTTACCACGCTAACAGCAAAAAAAAACTGCTAAATGTTCCAGAATAAAATTCCATCAAAGCATCAAAACTAGTGTTGTAGTACAACCCCATTTCCATGTCCCAAGGTGGGACGCTGTGAAAAATGTAGATAAAACAAAATGCAATGATGTGCAAATCATTTAAAGGGTGCATTAGTGCACATGGCATGGGCAATGTGCACATCTAAAGGCACCTTTAATGCTGAATGATATATACATGTTTTGGCAACATATGCTGCCATCCAGATGACGTCTTTTTAAGGGAAGTTCTTGTTTATTTCAGCAAGACAATGTCAAACCACATACTGCATGTATTACAACAGGATGACTCTATATTAAAAGAGTCCAGGTGCTAAACTGGCCTGTTTGCAGTCCAGACCTGTCACCACTGAAAACATTTGGCACATTATGAAATAAAAATGCATCAAAGGAGACCTCGAACTGTTGAGCAGCTGAAATTCTATGTTAAGCAAAAACGGGAAAACATTTGACTTTCAGAACTACAGCAGTTGGTCTCCTCAGTTCCCAAATGCTAACAGAGTGTTGTTAAAAGAAGAGATGATGAAACACAGTGGTATACATGCCCTTCTTTTTTGGAACGTGTTGCTGGCATCAAATTCAAAATGGGCATAAACTTTTCAAAAAACAATAAAATTTCTCAATTTCAACATTTGATTTATTGTCTTTGTACTATTTTCAATGATTTTGCACAGCGTCCCAACTTTTTTGGAAATGGGGTTGTAGATCCACTATTTTATGTAAATCTAGGAAGTAGTAAGAAGTCATTCGCTCTGTAGTTTGTTTTGTATTGTAGTCATTGTTACACTAATGTCCTCTCTTGCTTATACACAGTGCTGGGCCAATGATCGGTAGTCCATTGTGACCAAAGTAACTCCAGAACTGACCCCTTTTTGTAGATGGTCAACACCTGGGTAGGACTTAAGCTCAGATAGGAATCTACTGTGGTCTATTTATACACATTCAATCAGTAGTTTGTTTCAATAACCATTATACCTTTTGGAGCTTTGATTGTTGCCCAGTATAGTATTTGTGACTTAGCAAATTGATATGCAGTTTATGTTCATGTTACATTTGTAACTGTTTTGTAATAGTGTATGCAGGCATTTGCAAATTGAGCTCTGGAAATACAGTTTTGCTGTAGCTAGAGACTGAATGAGCACTGAATGAATGTGGCAGAT